AATTACCATGCAACCATTGCGACATTCCTCATCTTTGAATTTGGCCTACATTTACCCATATATATACAACCGGTGGCGTGAGACGCGTTGAGCACTTTTTATCGCTCGCGCAGGTAACCTCCCCCGCTTATTTTCACCATGACAATACCCGGAGGTTCGAGTCCATGCGAGTTTTCACCTAGTACACTCGCTATATATTCAGGCATAACCTCGCACTCGCTTTGAAATCTAACGCTCGTCCTGACAGCAGGATTACGCACGGGGAACCAGCGCCTGAGATCGACTCTATCGCTCGAAGTGGACGCTTCACGGCCTTCGGCGAGAGTTTCAGCTCCAGCACCATAACGCATCTCTTACATGGCTTATGTGTCGAAATCGCACGACGAGGTATTGGAAGAATTGGCCATACGACTGGCTAGGGTAGAGGCTAAGATCTTCGGTCCTGGAAACGATAATATCCTCCACATTCGTGCCTCGTCTTCTGAGGGAGGGAGCCCGGAAAGGCGAGCGTGCCCCATGGAGCTGTGGCAAAGGGTACTCAAAGCCTCCAAATGCGTCGAGGAATATGCCCGCAGAATGGGTGAAAAACCAGTTCTAAACGAGCTTGAAACGGAGCTTTTCAATGCGCCACACTCACTTTCCCGGAGTGCATTCCGAAGAAAGGGCTTCCCTCCTGCCTCGATAAATCAAGCAGCTGCGCCTCCTGACGGCCCCTCTGTTCCCCCTCCCTCCAGTAATGTGCTGGTGGGAATACCGGAAAAGACCACACTGGTCCTCGCTAAAGAAGAGGAGACGCGTCGAACGCTGGCGCTATTGTCAGAGATTGACGAGCTGAAAGCCTTTATCTCCGGACCTTTTTTAGAAGGGGGGGGGCACAGGGAGGAGGCAGCTTTGTACACGCAACTACAGCGCGTGGAGAGGGACTTCTGGGACGTGGAAGCTGTGGCTTTTGCCCTGGCAAGGGAGATGGAGGAGGTCTTGACGGTGTACGACGAGGTTGTGGAGCGGCTTTCGGGCAAATGTGTAGAGTGGGAAGGAGTCCTAGCGGCTCGGTGGAAGGCGAGAAAGAGGGGATTCGGAGCCAGAAATAGAGAAAAAGACGGGGCCAAGGGCACCTTGTAAGCAATTTTTTAAAAAAAAGTCACCGGGCAATCTCGTCGGCAGTGCGTCATGTCTTTACTATCAACAAAGAGCGGGCCTCTCCCCGCCCTCGTGCCTTCCCCTCCGCGGCTGAGACCTTGCCCCCGTCTCAGGACCTCCACTGGTAGCTCTTGAAAGCATGGCCTGGTCAAGCCACCTCACAAGAATACCTTGCGTTGAAGGTGCCGTCATCATGGAAGGCAGGATCCAGCCGCCCCCCCTCCCTCTCTCCCTCCCCCCCTCCCTCCAGTCCTCGAAGCTTCACGGGCATGCTGCATATGCATGGAAGAGAAAGCAGGAAACGACAGGTTCGGCACGTCCCTCATCCCCTCGGTCTCGCTCCCCGTGAACCTTCGAGGGATTACGATCCTCATCCCCCCTTGGCCCCCTGCTTCTTGGCCTCTTGCTCGATCTCTCCCCTACTTTTCCGTTTCTGGCCCGGGACAAAAGCACAAATGCCCCCCCCTCCCCCTCCCCCTTCCTGCACTGCCTTCCCTTGCCCAGACTCCGCAAAGTCCACAGGATCGGATGGCACTTCTCTTCCCCTCCTCCTCCCTCCAACGGTTGCCTTTCCCCCCGATAAGCGCCGTCCTTCCCTTTCTTCCAACCGGTACTCCCACGCGTCCTGCAAAAGCCCCTCCAAATCCACATGCTCTCGGAATGCCTCCACCAGGACTTGGACCATCTCCATCCGCTTCGCCTTCTCTTCACCCGGCTTCTGCCCCGCCGCGTGCTCCGCTTCCATCTCTTCGCGCACTTTTCCCAAAGAGGCCACCTCGGGCAAAAACCCATACGCCTTGCTCTGGGACTGGAATTTCGCAAAATATCCGCCCACTGCCTCCCGACAAGCCGCCAAGGAATAAAAACCTTCCAGAGGCAGTCGGTTGAATACCGCGCCGAGCACCTTCACGCCCTGGTGCCGGAAATAAGTGGCGTGCAGGTTGAAAGAATCGACCGCATCGCCAACCCCCGACCGGCCCACCAACAGCACAGGGCAGGCCCCTAAGGCCCGCGCAATGTCCGCGTTGCTGATGCCGCAGATGGATCCCACCGCCGGGTAGCCTACGCCGTCCACCAGTACGATTTTTTTCCCTGTCCCCACGGAACGCACGCCCTCACAGGCCTCCCGGAGCAAGTCTGCGGAGGTGCCCGCATTCCCCTTCAAGAACTCTCGCGTAAAGCCCTTGTAAAAGACAACAGGGCCGATGCCACGGTTGGCGATCCCGACACTGTCGCACCAAGCCGTGACAAGCTGCGGCGCCTCGCATTGGGTGGCTGGTTTGATGTAGGCAAGGTCTCCCGGAGCAAAACCCAGGCGAAGGAGGGAGCCGAGAAGCGCCAGGCAGACGCTGGACTTGCCGACTTTGGAACGGTCGCCTGCGATAAAGAGATTGAGGGGTTTGCCGGGGGGGATGGCGTTCACCAGGTAGAAAGATCGGGGTGCCGTGGAGGCTGAAAGGAGCTGCGTGGAGGACAGTGAAGGGGTATCCCCTCTACTCACGTCGATGTATCCCACGTCCTCCTCCATGGTGGTTACAAAGGCGAGACACCGCTGGATCATCCAAGCCGCCCCCTTCCTCCCGTTTCCTCCGTTATTTCCCTGCCCGTAGTTGCCATCCGCCCGGATCCCATCGACCAATCGGCCGTCGCGGTAGAAGTTGAAGCAAGGCAGCATGCCCACATCGGCCTCGAATGCCAAGTCTTCGTGCAGCCCTACGTCCAAAAGCCCCAGGACTACCTCCTCAATCGCTGTCACTATCACATCCTGATTTCCCCCTTCCTCCTTTGACGTGATAGATGTGGGCACGGGAGTAGTTAACGCCGCAGCCGCCTGGTGAAGGACGAGTTCAACAAGAGCGGAAGAACCTCGAAGCCAATAAGCATGAAATCCCAGTATGGCCTTGGGTTTGGCCGACAAAAATTCCTTTAGCTCTTCACGAGAGCTCACAGGTAGGATTTCAATCATGATTTAGAGAGGTGAGGGCAGAAGAGATAATGGCAAGTAGAGGGCATCACTTCCTGTGAGTGTATGCAGTGCCGCGATTTTCCTGCTCTGCTACCCCCTGGCAGGCCAAAGGCGACCAGATGCGACTCAGGGTGTGTGTTTAGCGGAAAGGACACCTGCGTAATTAATGGAGTGACAGGAAGCCGCTGTGAAACCATGAAAAGGCACCTTTTGGCATCCCCCCAGGCCGCGCTGGAACAAGTGCATGGGGGTGGGGCGGGCGCTAGGACGTGCTGTGTGCGGTTTGAGTGCGTGCATCCAACGGCTGGCGAGGCGCAATGGAGGGCGAGGAGGCCGCCGCCCTTTGGTCCCTGATTATGGCATGAAAGTGGTGTTTGTTTGGGTGTATGCTGTAGGATTGTTGGCGGACGGGCACATTTTGTCGTGCGTCGGGAGTTGGTTGCTTTGAATGACAGAATGACGGACGATTTTGTGGTGAATTTTGCTTGAGAGTTACTGCTCACCACGTTTTCTTCAGTCGACCCTCTCCCCCTGTGTACTGTAAGTTTTCAATTACACTGACATCTCATTCACCTTATGCCCACTATCACCTGCTTTATAAAATTTATGGCATACAGTTTTGCAGTAGCATGGGGGCCTACAAATTTTTGGAAGAGCTTTGGCGCAAGAAGCAGGCAGACCTGCTTCGTTTCCTGCTGCGTGTGCGTGCTTGGGAGTACCGCCAACTGCCTAAAATCTACCGCATGAACCGCCCTACTCGGACAGACAAAGCCCACCGTCTGGGCTACAAGGCCAAGCAGGGTTTTGTCGTCTATCGTGTAGCTGTACGACGGGGTGGACGCAAACGCCCCAACCCCAAGGGGATTGTGTACGGAAAGCCCAAAAACCAGGGGATTAATCAGCTCAAGTGGGTCCGCAATTTGAAGAGTAAGGCAGAGGAGCGGGCAGGCCGCAAGTTAGGCGGACTTCGCGTGCTGAATTCGTACTGGGTAAATCAAGACGCCACGTACAAGTACTACGAGGTCATCCTGGTGGACCCGCAGCACAAGGCTATCCGCCGGGATGCTCGGGTGAATTGGATTGTCAACCCCACACACAAGCACCGTGAGCTCCGAGGCCTGACTTCTTCCGGCCGGTCTTCCCGAGGACTACGCAAACGTGGTCACCGCGCGCACAACATCATCGGTTCCTCCGCCTACGGGTCCTGGAAACGCCGCAATACTATCTCCCTCAAGAGGTACCGTTAAACCAAGGGGGGAAATCGAGGCGATGGTCAAACTGCTGGTATGCGTTGTGTGTTTTTTCTTTGGTGGTTGGCTGGTGGAGCGCTCTTCCTCGGAATGCGAGCCGCAGGAGGCGACGCGTCGGAAAACTTTCCTGCAATGTCGATGGGTGGTTGCCGCGTAGTCGATGGCAAATTGATGCTTGGTTCTGCCTTGTGTCGAAACGTACGAGGGAGAGACGGGAAACTACCAACCGCTGAAAGCGTGACGGAGAGGGATGCAAAAGTAAAAAGCCACACGCGTGATCATGTTCTACATGCTTTTCAACAATTTCTTTGATGTTCTTGCATGATAAGGAGAAGCGCCAGGGAAGGCGCTAGGACCTGCATATCCACTCGGCAAGGGTAATTGGCACAATGGCAATGTCAGAAATCAAGGGGCATGGAGAGGATCAGGCCCGGTGGAGTGTCGCTGCGGATGAAGTATTTGATTCTTTCGATCAGATGCCTCTGCCCCGTCCCCGCGGCCGTTTTCGTCTCAACCCTCCGACCACCTCCCTGGGCCCATTTTAACAAAATAGCCCTTCCTCTTTTCCCACATCGCAGCCTCTGGGCTGGGTAATAACGTATTCACTTGGTTTCCTTCTTGTGATGGCCTGTCCTATCTCTCCCGACACCCACGCACGGCATTTATACACCGTACACCGGGTCCAAATTCGCAACATTACTTGCTTATGTATCCTTATCTATATTTCCTCCCGAAAATGCCCATTTTGGCGTCAAATGGTCAAAACCTTCGATTGTACCACGTTGTATTTCCTCCTCCAGTCCGGGAGACTCTGCTCACATGCATGCATATTTTATTTAAAAGGCTGTTTGTAATTATCGCGCAGGCTCCGCGGTCTGCTGCGCCCACATCTGCGTAACACCAGCATCAAGGACACTTTTAGGGGCCCCGTCCTTACATGGAGCCGAGCTCGATGCGGCTGGAGGCATCCAGGTCATCCGCGGGCTTGACCACATCGTCCTCCTCCTCGTCGTGGACCATGATCGATTCTTTGTGCTGGGACATGTCCAGGCCCAGTTTCTCGCTCTTCTCCCCCACGCGCAAGGGGTAGATCAGGTTTGTGATCTGGTAGCAGAGGAAGGACATGCCCATGATGTAAGGGATCAGGCAGACGAGCGCCACCAGGTGGTGCCAGAAGAGAGTGGCGTCGCCGTAGAACAACCCGTCCGCGCCGTCCGCATTCGCGCTGACTGTGGCAAAGCAGGAGGTCAAGACCATCCCCACCGTCCCTCCCAATCCGTGGCAAGGCCAGACGTCCAGGGTGTCGTCGATGTTCGCCTTTGTGTTGAAGTAATGGGCCACCACGTTGGAAATGAAAGCACCGATCATGCCCATGCAGGCCGCACCCCCCACGGTCACGAAGCCCGCCCCGGGGGTGATCACGACCAAGCCGACGACGGCGCCTACGCAGGCGCCCATGGCCGTCGATTTGCTGCCCCTGAGGTGGTCCACGAATACCCAGGTGAGCATGGCGGCGGCCGTGGCGGTATTGGTGGTCAGGAAGGCCTGGACGGCAACGGGATCGGCGGCAAGGGCGGACCCAGCATTGAAGCCGAACCAGCCAAACCAGAGAAGGGCGGTGCCGAGCATGACGAAGGGAATGTTGGCTGGTTGCATCTTACCCACGTTCTTGCGGGGTCCCAAAATGATGGATCCGACCAAGGCCGCATACCCGGAGGACATGTGCACGACCGTGCCGCCCGCAAAGTCCAGGATACCCGCCTTGGCGAGCAAGCCGTCAGGGTGCCAGGTCATGTGCGCCAGAGGGCAGTAGACGAAGAGGGAGAAGAGGACGATGAAGATGATGTAGGAAGTGAAGCGCACGCGCTCGGCAATGGCGCCCGAGATCAGGGCCGGGGTGATGATGGCGAACTTGAGCTGGAAGAGCGAGTAGAGCGCTAGGGGAATGGTGTTGGAGAAATTCGTGTCAGCAGCCGCGCCGACGTTGTTGTAGAAAGGGAAAGTGGCAGGGTTCCCCATGTAGCCCGAGAGCGAATCCCCGAAGGCGAGGGAGAAGCCCACCACCGTCCAGAGCATGGTGATCACGCCCATGGCCACGAAGGACATGAGGAGGGTGGAGATCACGTTCTTGGCGCGGACCATGCCGCCGTAGAAGAAGGCCAGTCCCGGGGTCATGAGAAGGACCAGGGCGGTGGCGGCCAGCATCCAGGCAATATCTCCGGGCAGAAGCTGGGGCTCTTCTTCGGTGGGCAAGGCTGCGTTGTAGTTGATGATGGATGGATCGTCCTCGGCCATAATGTAGGCGCCCCCCTTCTTCGCGTCAAAACAGGTCATGGCAATGGATAGCGCGATGAGGAGACTGAGCACCGAACCGGTGATGATGCGCCGTTTCACAATTTTGTCGGTGAAATCAATGCCCATGATTCTTTGAGGTGAAGGCTGATGATAGCCTTGTAATACACTAGATCTGTGATGGATGATGGGGTTCAGGATGAAGTTGAAAGCGTCGAGCGCGTTATACATGCCCGTCACTTTGGTACCGACAATATTTACATAGCCTTGTCTAATGCAAGGCAAAGGCTTCCACACTTGCGAGCGCAGTGCGCCTGGATTGTCATCCTGTGAGGCTCACACGCACAAATCTTAAAAAGATAGGCGGGGATAACGGGGGATGTCGCGAAACATCCATGGCATGACATGGCCAGTCCTACTGAGGTCCACTGCAGGAGCGTAGGACAGCACTTCACGCGCGACACGTTGAGTATCACTTTTACACTCTTCATGCATCATGGAGCTCCTTTTCTATGAAGAGGCACATTTTTGAAGGGATCGGGAGGTAGGAGTGATGAAGAAATGCTGCTTTACAGCATATGATACGGCCGCCTCGTAAATACCTTGCTACTGAACACGCAAGGAACGCGGGCAACTATGTTAGCGGGTGGGCACATTTCTCAGAGTCACATAGGAACTCCGAGGGTGAGAAGAGGCTTCAATTGGGGCCGTATAGTGTACGTTTTCAAGCCTTTGGTCGCGTGATCAAGCCTGAACAATCGAACAAAGCCCGCATACTTCCCAGCATCAGACATACAATCAGCGCCTGTCCAACTGCGCATGCGCCCCGGGAAGCCCCAGAAATGTGCGCTGATGGTCCATACCACGCGAGTGGACCGCAAAAAATGACAAGTGAGAAAGTATACCAAGATTTTGTAAATGAAGAAACCACAAATTACCGTCCATGGAAGCGCTTTAGGTGGTGTTGGTAATCCCCGCGGTCCCCGCCAGAGGTCAACGAGCAGCACCGCAACGGCCCGGCCTCGACTCTTCTCTATATTTCTTATCGGTCTGGGCTCGAAAAAAGGACACCGGGACGCACCAAGCACGTCCCCACGCCGGCGACGCGACGGAAGCCTCCACACACATGTAAAGCGATGTCTTGATGCGGAAGCCTCCACGTGTGGATGCGTTGGTGCTGTGTATATTTGTTGGTCGGTAAAATTAAGACGATATCCTGAGTATCTTCAGTTTGAAGGATTTGCGGCTGGGGCAAGTCCATCCGCGGTAATGCCGCCAATGATCCTGGAAGGGCTCCATAGTCACTCTCGGGTCAAGATATTCAAGGCCCTTTTGGGCGCGAGCAGGAAACATGATGGGATACGCAACATCATAATCACTCGCTAGTCATGTCTTTGTTTGTATAGGCATGTGGGTTCATGGTTCTAAGCCTTAGCTATATTTTAACCTCACGATTTGTGCCTTTTGGCGCGAAAGCCTGCGTCCGCCGGCTCTGTCCTTCTGTCGGAGCGCGGTCGCTTTTTTTGGGGGTATGACTTCGCGATGAGTACGTCACACCACGGCACCATTTTTCAATGGCAGCCCATATGTTCTTGCATGAGAAAATTCTTAATTGGCGCTACCACCGCGTGTGGCTCTCGTGATGTCATATTCAAACTTTCCTACTTCTTTACAGATGACTCCCAGTGTCCCAGAGACTGATGGGAACATCCTAACAACTCTGCTTATAGGACTTGGCCGAGGAGACGACGATGGTGTAGAGGAGGAGAATGAAGATAACAGTTCCAAGCCAGGCGACATAGAGACAGCTCCCGCTGTGACTTTCAACATCGAATCCTACCGCACACGAGCATCCCAGTACTTTGCGCAGCCCTTACTTCTCACAGGTTCAGAGCCAACCATTGCAAAATGGCCAAAAATTATACAAGGGGAGGAGCAAACAAGAAATATTGTAGCCGTTGCCCTTGAGTCGTGTCGCATATGTCATGTGACTCTGCCATCTCTCGTCAACGAGGGGTCGGGTCACGAAAAAGCGCGACTGGCGGTTTTGCACGAAAATGACGTCAAGGTACGTGCCATACCTTGCGGGGGAAAGGGAAAGATCGCCATGTTTCTACGCTTTTCTTTCACTGTCAGCAATGATCAATTTAAAATGCGTGTCTGCTCTCACATAATGCGGCGACGCTTGAGATGTAGGGCTGTAATTTTTGACATATTCTGTCCCACTTGCAGAGAAATGACTCACGTCAGTAATAAGCCTCGAGAGTGACGAATTCGTGACGCTCATCCTGTGTTCGACGCAATTTCAATTCTGAGCATCTTTTAAGGCGAAGCACTATCACTCGATACTGTGCAGGTCAAGGATGTCACAGGCCCTGGTAGCATCGACGCGGTCCTCGACCAGGCATGTACGAGCAAACGCCATGCAACCCTTGATACTTCCTCTTTGTGGTACGCTTACGGAGGCTTGGACATAAGCGGTATCCGCTGCCAAGCCAAAGCCGGGGCTGGCTTGTCAGCTGATGTGTCAGGTGCAATGAACGGAACTCCTTTTGAGGCCGCTTTCCCCCCGCCTGCATGTCTCGGGCCACCCAAGGACCCGTGTGAATCCCCAAACCAGGGATTTGGCGAGGAAGGCTCGGAGCACCTCGTCGTTGCAGCCAACGTGTGGGTGGGGAGGAATCTAACAAGCCGGCTTCACGTCGACGCCCTCGACAACCTCTTCTGCGTCAGCCAAGGGAGCAAAATCGTCCACCTCTATAGTCCCTGGCAGCTGGCCGAACTTGATCCTGAGCCTCCTTCGAAAGGCTTGCCCATAGAGTCGCGGTGGAAGTCCAGACTTTTCCATGGCCCCGCCGAGTGGCCGGTGGGATTACAGGCTACTGCTGTCGCCCACGTCCGGACTGGGGAGTGTCTTTTTATCCCTGCGGGTTGGTTTCACGAAGTCTTCACGATATCTTCCAAATTCTCGTTAGCTATTAGTTTCTGGTGTAAAAGTCCTACCCCGGAGACTGCAGCCAGAGTTCGTTTGCGGCCTTCCCTTCTGGCCTTGGCAGGGGCCGCAAGAAATGGCAACGAAACGAGAGCAAGAGGAGGCAATGGAGATTTTTACGCTTTCTTGGCAGACCAGCAGCAACGCAAGCGAGTCAAGGGTCAGGAAAAATGTATTGCATGATAAATGAGGTTAAGTTTTTCAGATAATACGAAATATAGGAGCGAATTGGAAAAGAACAGAATTTATGTCCAAACCCGCTTACTCACGTTGAAGCCGAAAGCAAATTTACCACGCCGCATGGCTCGCCTTTGAACACAAGTTTCTCGTGACATACACATCGGGCTCAGCGAATCGAGCCTGCACGTCCCTTTTCCACTCATTATTGTGAACGACACAAGTGACTAAAGCCAAACTTGCGGACGGCCCATATGTGCCCTGCGGAGTGCTCTGTCGGCCTCCTGCTCCCTCCCCTCCTGGCTGCAATCTTCCACTTGAAGGACCGTCCTTGCACTCACCCGCATTTAACCCCACAGAGGTGCCTACCATACACTGATTCGGTGGTTGTACGTGTGTATTAATCAAGATATTGTCATTTCACCGCCTGGCGCGCAAGATTCCAGGCGTCCTGGTGACCACGGAGTGACATGTCATCAAATGGGTACCTTCGGGCCTACCACCTCCTGATCGCCCTCCTGATATCAGCCAACGCTTTTTTAATTACGCCTCCACGCCTCTCCAAGACCACCATCGGCCTCCAATCCTTAGTGACAGCAAACTATGGAGTGAGGAGAGGTGAGTTAAGGGTTTTGTATCGTTAAAGTGTGAAGAAAAGACAGATTTGAGTGTGGAGGAGAAGGGATCGGCCCACGGATGTTTTGTCTCTGACTGGGACAATATGGGACGAAGTGGCAAGAAATGCCACTCTTCCTATATATCTGGAACGTACGCATGTATTCAAACATCATGGACCATCCTGGAAAAGACGTGCGACCTGACTTGATAGTCTCTCATGTGCTGGTCTCCGCTTGTTTTCTTATGAGAAAGACGCCCTGCGACGGACTACACATCCTGCCCTTGTCGAACCCCTTGACATTTATGAAAGACGATGAAATGCGAGCGTATTCCCTTTTATTTGGCGCCCTTAACCTGCACGGGTCACGCGTCAGGCCCCACTTTACCGACGCAGCGGGTACCTCTGGCCTCAACCCCGCACGGTCATAGTAGCCCAGATTCATCTTAGTTCCCTCTCTCTTGCCCTTCTTCCCCTTTTCATACAGCAATCTCTCTCCGAGGGGGGCTACAATCTGTTTCGATGAAGGCACCGGCTGCCGTTGCTTCGTCCACCTACGACTACATCATAGTCGGTGGCGGCATCGGCGGTTGTGTTCTCGCCAACCGACTGACAGAAAGCGGGCGTTTCAAGGTCCTTCTCCTGGAGGCCGGAAAATCAGCAGAGCGAAACCCGTACGTGAACATCCCCGCGGGCGTGGTCCGCCTCTTTAAATCGGCCTTGGATTGGCAGTTTGAGAGCGCCCCCGAAAGACACCTGGACGGGAAGGAGGTGTACTTGGTCAGGGGGAAGGCCATGGGAGGCTCCAGTGCGGTGAATGTGATGCTCGTACACCGCGGCTCGGCCTCCGACTACGCGAAGTGGGAGGCGGAGGGAGCTCAGGGATGGGGCCCGGAGGAAGCCTTACGCTACTTCAAGAAAATGGAAGACAACTTGGTGGGCGGGGAAGGGCGGTGGCACGGCCAGGGGGGCATGTACCCGGTGGACGACGTCAAGTACCAAAACCCTTTGTCCAAGCGCTTTTTACAGGCGTGCGAGGAGTACGGGTGGCGGGCGAACCCGGATTTTAACGACTGGTCCCATCCCCAGGACGGATACGGGAGCTTCAAAGTGGCGCAGAAGCACGGCAAACGGGTGACGGCCGCCTCCGGGTACT